TGCTACGGAGGCCCCAAATACGTCCAGAGCAAGGGAGATAGGAATAGGTTTATGTTACGAGCCCAGACCCAGCGCCCGTAGACTCCCCGCGAGGCGCGTGCCGCAAAACCCCGCGCTTCGCGCGGGGTTTTGCGGCACGCGCCTCGCCTACGCCCCATAGGTTTATGTTGACCATTTTGAACCTGTTTATCTTGGCTCAAATATCTTGGCTCGTTTATCTTGGCTCAAATATCGAGCTGATTTTGGTGTCATTCGACTCAGCTCGACGAGCTGAGTCGAATGAGCTATTATTTGCATTTTCGAATTTTTCACCCCAAAATTAGCTTACTCCCCCTTCTCTTTTTCAAACTTCAGGGGTCTGTATCTCGGTCCCTGATTGTCGGATCGACTTCTCTCTGCCCGCGATCGACTCAGCTCGGCGAGCTCTTTCGAATGACACCTCATTTGTCCAAATCGGTCCAGCCAAAAAAAACCCCCTATAAGTCACAACATTCCTTTTTTTCTTCTTCATGTATTTTGCTGGTTTATTTTGCTTTTTCACATATTTTGTACTTAAATTCACTCATTTCGTTTCGACATTTACCACATTTCACTTATTTTGCTTGAAGAAAGAAAAATGATTGACATGGTGAAGAAAATAATCTCTGACCATTTTCTACGTTTAAGGAAAACTCTGAGACTCAAAATAGGAGGGGGTGACATATCCATAAAGTACCCACCCCAAGATAGTCTGTATTAATTAGTGTTATTTATTTACAAGTGACTTTAAAATAAAAATTTAACAAAACTGTGCATGGATACTTAGTTTTAATCCCCTATCTTTTAGTCGGCACTGAAAAATGTAGATGGTCCTTCAATAAGACTTCTTGGGCCAGTCCGATAAAATGAAGCCCGAAAATGACCCGAACGTCGGCCCGACTCGAAAATCTCAACCATACTCTTCAAGATTTTGATTTGCGCCTGCAGCGCAAAAGTTTCAAATAATTTGACGATTTGGAAATATTTGTCATTTTGACAATTTTAGAAATATATATCCGCTAAAAAGATAATTTTTAATTAATATCAGGGATATATCCGGATGCGGATCCAAAATCCGTGTCCATGCACAGGTCTGGTATTTACTGTAAAATGTTCATAAGTGTCTGAAGGTGATTCATCCACAAAGAAAACATATAATTGATTAGAAAATCTTTTTCTTGGCAAATCTATGTGCGTAGCCCTAATATTATATATAATTGCACTTGCATTCATATACCTTCAAATTTTTCAAATTATTATCTTTAAATATTTTAAAAACTTTACAAATCTCTATCTGTTAAATATTCACATTCGTATTTACATTCATCAATATTATACAGTCCAGTTTGCATATCAATTATATTTTCTTTATCAATTAGATTATTCCAGCCAAGAATTATTGGTGTTGACTAAAATATTTGGAACCCTCATAAAAGTATCTTTAAGGTATTATCAACAATTTTATCAATAGGTGTGCCGAAAAAAATATCGACGGTGTGCCGAAAAATATTTTAAGTATAGAAATTTAATTAAGTATAGAAATTAATATTTTAAGAATAGAAAGGCGAAATTCATTCAAAAAGTGAAAGGCGAAAATGTGTAAGTAATACGGATTTGATACGGTGTGTCCGGAAATGATATAACCCCCTAGGATAATTCTGTTTTGGATGGTAGAAAAAATCCACAAAAATTCCAGTGAGCATATCTATTGATATCAATATAAAATACAAAAGAAACGAAGTTCTAATCATCGAGATCTGTATCCTTCCATCATCGAGATCTCGAACCACGAAAATCAACGGAAAACAGGGGGTAAACGTCTTTAAAAATATTTTCGATCCCATAGAGGCCGTATTAAATTTTTATTTCATACTTTTCTGAAAGCCCTTTAAATTTGCTACAAGAAACCCATATTGTTAATAAAAGAAAAATTTTCCATGGGTAACATTGAGTGTTAAATTCAGTGGACGTGAAAAGTATTAAATGATTGAGTATTTTATACAAAATCAAAATCATCTAGTATTTTTCAAATTATTTTACCTTGCTTGATTTCAAGTTATAACAAGGCGAGTAACTATTACATACGAAAAATTTTAAATCCTTTTTTCTTGTTAGAAGAAAATAAATCAAAGCCAGCATAATTATTAACTTAAGAAAAATTTTACGAATTTTTAATGTTTAGTTTATCATAGTTGTGGGTGTTAAACTGAGCGTTATTAGTCGTATATCTGGTGACTAATTTTAATAAAAATTAATTGATAACTTCATACCCTGGTAGCAGTGATGTCAAAGTTCCAAAATTTCTCTGGAACCGCAGTCGAAATTTTTGAGAATTTTGGAAGGATAAGCCACCAGATCTCTTCCTGTTTCAGTGCCGCAGGCGAAAATTTTGAGAATTTTGGACCCCCAAGAACTAGTTCCAAAACCAGTTCCAAGCTAGTTCCAGATAATCGTTAGTTCCGTAGTTCTAGTTCTGGAACTGGAACTTTGACATCACTGCCTGGTAGGTGTTAACTTTAAGTAATTAACGTACTGCGAATATTTTAACGCATTTATAAATCCTTCTATATCCTCCACGCCCTGGTTTATTATCAAAAATAATTGATTTAATTGGAATATATTTTAATTTTTTATTTAATTTAGACCTCATTCTGGTTAATATTAAATATTTACTTTAGTCATTTAAAATATTATTAAAGATGCAAATTTTAAATAAATATAGCAATTAATATTATGTATATGCAACAATGTGTTTTGGAAAATTTTTTTCGATTTTTTACTCTTTTAGCCTTGAATAATAAATAATCGGCTATTTGAATCTAGCGAAAAAATCCGGACTTTTAAAAGTTTATTTCTTGTTGTAAATTGCAACTACATATTTTTTTATAAGATTTGTTGTTAGACTGAATTTGTTTAATTAAAAAGATCAGCAAAAGTAGATAATAAAATGAGATGCAAAAGATAAACTTATTAATAGGATTGGTAAATACATGCAAATGCATGTTTTGTATGCGGATATGCCTTGAAGTGGCGAGCCCATAAATGATGTTTTTACATTGGTCCGAGCACATTAGCTCCCGGTTCTTAATACCTATTCTTGCATATTTTGACATTTCGTGCATATTTGCATATCTGAGCATATTTTGGCAAATTTTGCATATTTTGGTCCATATTTCGGCATTTTTTGGTAAATTTAAATAAAAACTTGGCAAATTTTTCTAGATTTTGGATTTTTTAGGCAAATTTTTTAGAGAATTTTTCTGTAAAATTTTTTTCAAAAATTTTTTTGCAGAAATTTTAAATAATAGAATCTTTATGAAGTGCTTTTATATTGCAATTTTAAAGGCTAAATTAGTGTTTTTTACTTAAACTAGTGATTTTTAAAAAATATTTTCACTATTTTTCTGCATATTTGGTGCATTTTATGGAGTTAACATTAAATTTCTTCGATTTAAATTTTGGAACAATAGTGATTAATTGTTTACTGAAGCCGTCCAAACTTGATTTCGAATGCATATTTTGGTATCTAATTAATTATTTTAAAAATTCTTCCGCACATTTCTTAACCCTAGAAATACTAATTACTTTTCACCCTTTCACACTCGTCTTGACCAAACTTTTTATTATAAGCACCCCTAAGGTTTCGACATTAGGGGTTAGTTATAGAAACATGCAGAAACATACGTGAAAGTAAACTTATTGAAGTCAAACATTAAAATAGAGTTCAGCGGTATCGGGATTTAGAGAAAAATCAGGGAACGGGATTTAGGAATGACGATCCCGATCCCTCCCCTCTTCTGTCAACTTTATTTCACAGACTTCTAGTCAATTTATAAAATCGGGATTTGCATCGGGATCTGATGCGCATCCCGATCCCGGCTCGGGATATTTATTTCGGGAGCGGGATGAGAAAAATCGGGATCGGGATTCGAAAAACCCGGGATAATCCCGCCCGATCCCGACCGGGATCCCGATCCCGCTGAACTCTACATTAAAATAAGACAAATTTTTAACAAAATATACAACAAAACAATTATTTCACCAAACATCCAAATACATAATTCTACTAAATTTATTTTACAAAAAATTTCTTTTTACATATATTTGTCTTTTTTCACCACTATTAGTGTATTTTTTATACCGTGTGGTTGCTCATAAATAAATAAATAAATAAAATAACTAAAAATTAAAATTAATAGATTTTTATACAAATTTAAACATTAAACGGTCATTTTTATCATTTATAATTTAAAATAAATATAATTTAAAAAATAAATTATAAATTAAAAATATTATTCAACCAATTAATTTTGAATGCTTGACCAAAAATTAAACCAGGAATTGTATTACGACTAGATTTCCTGTGAAAATTAGACATGGAACTACATGGAACGGGTACGTGATGTTACTGCAACTATATATGGAAATCGTTTTTTAATTGTAATGTTCAGTGTTTAATGTTACACACATTAAATTCATTTCTTAAATTATTATTTTTAAATTAAATCTCTGTTAGGCATTGAGCAAGGCGTTAAAATAAATAAAAATTATTTTGATTCTTTTTGAATTTATTTTATTGTCCATATAAGCTTTGATTGAACGTATAAAAGTTGATTGGAGGTATGAAACTTTGATTAGAAGTATAAAAGTCGATGGGACGTATATTGTGTAATAGAGCCATAAATTTTACCAAAAAATAATTTTTAGACAAAAATTCCTCAAAAAATGTCCAAATATGACCAAATTTTAATAAAAATATGCAAAATAGGCTGAAAAAGGTATTTATAATAGGACATTTTTCCGGAAAAAGTAGGGCATTTTGCCATTTATATAAAAAATCCGACATTAGGGTGAATAAATTTTAGGCACATGCCGCGCCAAAAAAGGAAAATAAATAAAAGAAATAGATATAATTGAAATTTAGAATGGCCGGCCATTCAATTAAATAAAAATAAATTAAATAAATTTGATCATTTAAAACATTAATTGTGAATAAGATTTGTTGGAGGAATCTGCGCTAATATGGATGTAGGTAAAGAAGAAAACCATTCATACAAAGATGTAGTGTTCGCTGTTTGCTGAGAAGTTGTTGATATTTGTTGCAAAAAATTTTGTTTTTGTTGCGAGACAATTTGTTGTGAAGTATTTGAAACTAAAGTTCCTTGATGGCCAAGTTGTGAAAAAATAGGTGGTAAAGAAGGTTGTGAGTAAACTAGTAATTGACCACCAACAGGTCTTTGTTGCGAGACTAAATATAGTTGTGGAGCAAGTGAGTTGTTTCGCATAGCCGCATTAATTGTATATGTCCTATGTATATTAGGTAGAATTGTTGGGGGTTGTGGATTAATACAGTATTGTTGAGGACTGTTAAAAGAAAAATAGATTGGCTGTCTATGTTGATTTTGTGTTATTTCTGAGGTAAACTGTTGAATAAGCGGAAAATTAGAAGGAAGTTGAGATGTATGTTGAAAATGTTGTCGTTGTAAAAATTGTGAATGAGTTGGAAGATCGGGTGTCTCTACTACCTCTTGTTGTCCTTTATCATTAAAAGGGTTTTGTTGACTTCTCGATATATATTGTTTAATTTTCTTTTGCTGTTTTGTTATATCAGAACTTCCAGAAAAACAACAATTATTCGAATTAATAAGATGGGGAAATAGTAATTTGTCGTTTTCATCGTCATGGATATTTGGTGCTCGCACACGAATTTTTTGCATACGTCTTAGTTTGATTTGGGCAGCCATAAGGCGTCGCCTGATTTTAATAAAAATTAGAATATCAAATAGTATTAGGCACGAGGATATAATATCGCGAGGTTTTTCGAGATCGAGATTTCAGATAGTACTTGGTACCATTTAACTCTGCTCAACGAGCCGAATTGAATGATTCATGAAGAGACTCGTTTTGAAGTATCCTTAACTATAAAAGTAAAGCAGCTAAGCTATAGCTATTTCTCTCCTTTAGCTAGTGCAAAAGGTTATTCGGCGGCTGGGAGCGAACCAGCATCTTCAGTAGACCGGACTGATGTGTTAGCCATTACACCACGCCGACTACTGCACAGCCTTAGGAATTAAATAGCTAAATGCTTTACCTAATCCCGTTTTTTTACTACAACGACAATCTTTCTCGTATTACTCCGGTAAATCCTAAATCCAGGTAATACCGTTTGTAAATAGCCTAAAACTTGTGATTTAGGGCAGCGATCCCGGAAAATCCATTGCGGCAACCGTACCTTGCTTATCCTTAGTAATTATACTTACAAACCTCTCCTCGACTAAACAACAATTTTCACAGCCACAAATTCGAAAAGGGCATAACGTCTAAAAATTGAGATACCTTATATTTTCACATATCTAAAACCTTCTTATGCCCTCTTAATGTGCTTTCCTTTCCGTGTGCTGAACATCTTGCACACGTTGGATTACGTAATTTAGATCCAGAAGGTTTCTTAATTAATTTTAATTTTCCTTTTCCATGTCGTCGAGAGTTTAAAGCTTTATTTAAGCGTCTACGTTTTATAACCATTTGACATTCTGCACATTTACAGTCTTGATAGCGACAAAATGCCTTGTGCCCTTTACGGGCATGTTCCTATAATTTGGGATTTCTTGAATATAATATTTTTTGAAATTTTTGCCTAACCAGCAACCATATAAATTCGGGATTAGGTTACTCTAGTCTCTTTTCCCACATAAAGCAAAAGAAGAGGGAAATCCTTTTCGCCGAAAGGGAAGAAAAGAAATTTTTTGGCAGGCAACGCGAAAATTTTGACGCAAATTATATACAGGGTTGGGCAAAAGTTCGGCGACAAATTTTATTTTGTCCTATCTTAAAATTTACTTTATATTTTGCTTTTTGTTTAGATTTCCCATATTCTATGATTCGCGCTCTACAAATTTTATCTTGAAAATTTTTTCATATCTCATAAAGTAAAAATTTTACAGAATGTTAAAGATCGTGCTTTTAGTATTTCTTTGTATTTTAAAAATGTTCGAAAAAGTGACATTGCTAGACGGCTCGATATCTGTCGTATGTTAGTTTCAAAAGCAATAAAACGATATCTTGAGCTTGGAAATAATCAAGATCGCCCTAGTAGTGGCCGATCGGTAACCGCAGTTACGCCTGAAAACATGGACGTAGTTAGATGTATATATTTATATTACTATCATATCCAACCTAATAATTACTTTTATTTGGCGGACTAAGCGTTTGTGGATTAAGAGGGCCCTCTTAATCAGCAAAAACGCAAATCCCACCGAATCAAGCATATTTGATTTGGCTTTCTCTATCAATTCGTAAATAAATTCATATTTCCATTTCAGATAATAAAATTCACTAACCTCATTATGGTTTAAACATCTCTGACAAAGATATATTTTATATTTTGAATTATGCAAAGCAGAACATCTAATTTCTTCTGAACTTAATATTTACAGTCCCGATCCCTTTCTTAAATACTTTTTGTTTCACAAAAATCTTATTAAATATACGGAGGGTTTCCACAGCATGAATATATCAGCTCTAATGATGAGTTTTTGCTAAGAGTAATATTATATATAGATCCCGGATTTATATACCGTATTTCTTCAAATAAATGCCATGGCATTTGTTTTTCGATCTACTTCTAGGTTGGTCGCTCGTTCGGGAATGGGCGAAAGTCTCACCCAAAGTGGTGCAAATTTTCTCAAAAAGTTTTCCAGGCGTCTTCGACTTTGTATCCAAAGGAAGGATAGGCCCTTCAAAAATTCTTGATTATTCTTGCTCCAAGTTTAATGCTCTATCATATAAGCTTTATTTGATCTCATTATCTTATATTTGAATAAAGTTATGGCATAAAATGTGTGCCCCATATCTTTCTTGTCACCCTGTATACCGTATTTCTTTCAATAAATGCTATGGCATTTGTTTTTCGATCTACTTCTAGGTTGGCATTCTATTAGAAGGTGGCTTTGTATTTTCCAAAGTGTAAATTTTAGACGTTTGAGCTCGATATACCTATTTAACGGAAAATCTTGGAGCCCAACTTATCAGAGCCCAAGTTTTAACACCCGAGAGTGTTTAAGAATGAGTCGGACTGCATTGTTATTCCGGTCAAAACATTTTTTAATTTCTTATTAAATAAATTATGTTGTTGTGTAGATCCTGGAGTAAATGATAAGATATCTATTATATTATTTTCTTCTTTTTCCTTTTCATTCCTTTTTATATTAATAAAAGTATTTGTGGATAAAATTGAGGCTGCCGTTGTGTTAAGAGATTATTATCTATGAATGAAGATGTTTAAATTAGTTTGATAATTATCTGTACCAATGTTAAATTCCAGTGACTTGTTCCTAGTAAATGATACATATTTTGGCAAGCTATGGACCCGGATTCCTTCCACTTTCATCGCCTGTAACAATTTATGTTAATAATTGAAAATGCTTTACGGGATCGTGTCGCGTGCCAATCTTTACTATTTGATTATACATTTTTGAGGCCGTTTATATTATTTTTAAGACGCACATTCACTGATGAAACGATGTTACTATTTTTGCGATACTTAGTGCTTTGATAGGACGCATAAAAGTTCATGAGACGCATATCGTAAAGTAGATAAGAAGTAAAAATAAAAGATCATAGGTTTGTCAAATAAAGCCGAATTTTGTCGATTTTGGTGTAATTCGACTCAGCTCTTTCGAATAATAGAATATTTTAGACCAAAAAATCAGCTTGGTCCCTATGGTTTTTCAATGTTTAGCGGCACATAAATATATCTATGACAGTTTGCGTTCATGGAAAAAATTAAATGCGTATTTGAACTCAGTTCGGAGTGAGGCGGGCCAATACTATCAACTCGTGGGTATATACAGCCTTTGAAACAACATTGATGTTTAAACCAATAGCTGTTGAATTGGCTGACTTCTATTATTTCTCAACCGAATCTAAAGCATTATTTTAGCAACAAAATGTACTTTTTTAATATAATATGTATTAATCTAATCTTCGCATCTTTTTTACATAAAGTATATTTAAACAAAACGAGATGTAGCTTATTAATACGGAATTAAAAATATAATGATTTCAATCACATTTTCAATTTGGCATTGTCCATAATGTATGTTATACTTAAAAAACAAGTAAAAATTGAAACTGACTGATAAGAAGACATGTCTATGAATTTTAAATAATAAACAGTCTAGCAGTTTACACAACAGGGCTATGTCAAGATTTTGCTGAGTTTCATATAGTATATAAATTAATTTGAAAAGTTATAAGGGTGGTAATTTATTTCGAAATTAAAATAAGCCTTATTTTTGGTCTTTTATTTTTGGCCAATTTTCAAATAATTTTGAATTGTGTTACTGTATTTTTGAAACACTCAAAAATTCAGAAAACAGTGCAAAAATAGTAATTTGAGCACCAAAAACACATTTGAGCAGAACGGCTTTAGAAAAAGCCCGAAATCAAAATTACTACAGCTGTCTTATGATGATTTTCGCGGTATCGAGATCTTGACACTGAAATCACATATTACAATGTATTACACTATTTATTCTATTAAATATATAGTATTTATTTATTCAATTTCTTCATAACATACATATATATTAGATACAATAATATTATATTAGATACAATAATAAGTAATAGAAATGGCTGGCCAAATCTGATAATACGTAAACAGAAAGTGAGTAACAAAAATAAGATAAAAGTCGAGAATTGTATGATAAATTCGGAGGACTTTTATATGTAGAAAAAGATTAACATTTATATATTTTTTATTTGATGAACCTGTTTCCCAAAACGCTCATTTACATATTTATAAAGTATCGTGAATTTTAGTAAATAATAACATCTGCAATCAAAATTCCACAATTTTTAACTTCCAAAATTTCATTGATAAATATTTTGTGACTAACCACGTTTGCTACAAATATTATAATAGGGTAATTACACCTCTGATACAGTCAATGAGTTTGATTATTTCCTATTGTTTCTTATTTTAACAGTTTTAATTGTTTCCAATTTTTTAATAATAAAATTTGTTAAATATTCATTTTGTTAATACACTGCTCCACATAATTATAAGTCCACCCCTTTTTTCGAGATTTTTTCACTTCCAATGATCCAAATTTTCTTAAAATTTAGATACACACCTTTTAGCGAATAACTAACAAGAGTTGGATAGATTTTTTGGCTGATTTTTTATCTAAAAAATTTTTAGACCAAAATTTGCATTTTCGGCCTCCACAAAATTATAAGTCCACTTTTTAAAGACAATAAATAAGAAACATTAAAAAATTCAATCAAAACTATTAGAAAAAAAAACTTGTTGCGTTTGATATCGGTAATCTAATTTGCGGATCTTTTTTCTTAAATAATTTGAAAAAAACATAACTTAGAAAACAACATAAAGGAAATCTTGATTTATGAATAAATTACATTTTATTTATTTTTTTAAATAAAATTTAAAAGTAATACATACTTTATATATCCGGTCTTATTGCAACAGATTCAAATGATGATATTCGTTCTTTTATTTTATTGATATTCGTTATTTTATTCGTTACTGAAAATTAAATACAATAAGAATCGAAGCAAATATTAAAAATATTTGACAAAATTACTTATAAGGTCTTATACGAAATTTGGCTTAGTAGCCGGTGGTAAAGTTTACCTCAAAACACATACCATTCGATTCCATTCGACGAACTGGAGCGAAATTACTAGTATTTTTCCGGAGATGCTGTAGACCAGAGTTGCGTCGTAATTACGAATTACGATTACGAAAATATAGGGAAAAATTACGAATTGAGAAAATAATTTTGCCATTAAATTTTAGAATGAAAAGGGGAAGAAATATTTGAAATATTTATATTTTCTCTCACATTTTGATTTTAGTTTTGTAAATTTACATTTTTAATACCTTAAAATTGAAAAAAACTTAAAAATTTTTAATCTAGTCATGAATTTTCTAAAAATTTTTCGCCTGCGGCGCTGGAAATATAAGAGTGTTGGCTCGGGATTAAGTGAAAGTGATTTACCATGATATCAAACTTAATCTGGGACGATAATTCCTCATGATTCATTAAAGAAATATCGGAAGATTATTAGGATTAAGTAGGATATCAGGGAATTAATTGGGATTTTAATAATATCAGAGAAATAAGAGGACTTGGAGAGATTAATGGGAGAAGCAGCAATTATTAATAGATATTTGATTTTTAAAATTAATTTAAATATTTTTGAAAAATTACGAATTACGATTACGAATTACGAATTACGGCATTTTTTCAGTTACGAATTACGAATTACGATTACGAAAAATTTTTTTAAATTACGAATTACGAATTACGATTACGAAAATTTTTTTAAAATTACGAATTACGATTACGAAAAAATTTTTTAAATTACGAATTACGAATTACGATTACGAAAAAAAATTTTCAATTACGACGCAACTCTGCTGTAGACCGAGATATATACCCCCGAATATCTAAAAAAGACACTAAAATCTACGCGATCTAACTTAATCTGTCAAGGTTGAAAAATCATAAATTGAAAAGCATAGGGACAAGTAAACTAATTTGGGTATTATGAATTCGCATAAGGGATGTCACAATTTTCGATTGCGGGTTTGTAAGTTTGTAGTTTTCTTCATATGTAAGG